AAAATTGGAGCCCCATCTCGCATCCTCCGTATCTAGTGACACGGCAGAAACTTCCTGAGTGAAGACTGCTCACGGGCTCGCCATTGAGGTTTACTTGGCGTATACCAGAAGTATCCATGGTATTTTTATTGATCTTGGCATCTAGAACCGCTGCAGAGGCAGCCCTGTGCCTGTCGACATTAGCTATAGCTAGTGGGATGTTCGACGAATGATTGATGTCTGAGTACGAGCGTGGACGGTTCAACACGAATCTAGCCTGATTACAAATCAATTTGACGTTTCTGCTCCCTGCCTGTATATGTATCTTAACATTTCGCACGACATTCAAATACTATGTCTTAAATATTGCAAACCCCGATGTGCAGATGCTAACTATACATCCACAAGTGTCCGTAACGCGCTAAGTATTTGTTTCAACGCTTTTGCCGATGAAGGTGAATTATTTTTGTCCGCTGATGCGATGTTACTCTAGAACAACAGGCGAAGCGCCTTGAACGTTCTGAACGACACTGCAACTCGGCGAAGTCAAGTTTACGCACCGGTCAAAGCTTTAAGCACGGGCAGATTCAGCATCTCGCAGCTCTGAGTTGTTTGACTGACATTTGACTTTGACAGTTGATTCGCTCAGACTCAATGCGGGCCGACGGCGCCAATCACTACTATAGCAAAAAGATATTGCGTGTGCGAAACATGCCATGGCCCTCATGACTCCCCGACAAATATAGGTCCACTATTTTGATTATAATGTCATCTACCTTAGCAGGGAGATCAAATCCCAATATTTGGTACTCGGTACTAATCCGCCTGTGACGTTATGAAAGGAGCACAAAGCCTAAGTAAGGTATGAAGGACAGCCAACTGTTTCTCGGCGCGTAACTTCAATGCACAGGGAAATCGGTTCGTGCAGAAGCCGGCTGTCTAACAAGTCAAGGGCCATCATGTGCTATCCCCTTGTTGAATAATGAGGGTCTCCAGCGTCAGGTACCGGGGGACGAAAGAGACGCTGGCTAAATCGCAAACCAAGGAAGGTGGTACAACCTATGCGAGCCGAAACATATAAAAGCCTGCTTGCTGAGACTCTAACTACAGATACTCGAGCTCTTCAATCCACAATCAATCTCAACTACTACTACTACACTTTGTGTTTTAACAATCCGAAACAATGTCACCCCGGCCCTTCGTCAAGAATTTGACCTTCCAGTCGTGAGTGTTCGTGATCTCGCTCTGCACAAATTTCTCACCCGACGTTTCGCAGCCACGACCTCGGCAAGGAGGTCACGATCATGCTCGCCTGGAGTCCCAACGTGGATGGCCTCTACGAGGACGTCTTCCCGATAGTTTGGAAGTAAGTGCGCCTACTCGTGTCTTGGACTATTTAAAAACTTGCTATTTTTTCAGGGTCAGTAAATTCGGGAAGTCGGGTGGGTGTTCCTGTTCTCTTGCTGCCAAGTTCCCGACTTACATATGAGCGTTCTTTCCAGGTCCATACAGGGCTACCGCGACCTACACGGCCCAGTAAGATGATCGACAATATCATTAGTCTGAGAAGTCGCTTATATATTGTATAGGCTTGCATTCGCCAGAGCCCAGGTCGAGAGTGGGAAGGTCATCAGCGCTGCGACCTCCGTCAATATCAATGTGAGCAACTCTCATCTACTCCTAAATTGCTAGCACCAACGCAAGCCACGATGCAGAACAGCGAGAAAACAATCCTGACGGAAGCCAACGATGTCTATCATTTCTCTGTAAGTCTGGCTTCCGTTTATTTTCATCTCGACCACCGACGAATACCTCCTGTAGCCCCCTCAGGCGGGAACCTCTGGGATCCTGCAGGCCCAGAACCATACAGGGAGTGTTCAAGAAATTGCAGTCGGTTTGTGACCATCATGATCTCCTATTCTTTCACCTGAGCGTATTGTCCGCCTCCAGGCTTCGTGAACAAAGGAGATTTTATGCCCACACCCGTACTCTACTTCAGCGATGTTGGGTATGTCATCTTTCCTGTATTTCGCTTTCAGAGCATTCACAATATCAAATGCAGAGACGGCAGTCGCGTCACGGCAAAATTCACTCCGGTCCTGCGGGCCTACATCACGTCGGACTATGAAGAGACCTCAATCTTGCGAGGTCAAGTCGACACTCCTGCGATCTGGTCGCAGGATCTGACTGGGCTTGCTCAGAACACGACTTGGAACCTCTCACGCGACGCGAACACTGGACGTTACACGATCACCCATGCTTGATTAGGGGATGCGACATTGGTGCGTCTAGATATCCGTTCTGTAATATCTGCATCTCAATGTTTTACTGTTTCATAGTATCTTCGTTCAAATCAATGGCCTCACCAAGTTTCTTATTTCTTTATAAGATTCCTTGTATGTTATGTATTTTGCGAGAGTTGGACGTTATAGAAGTTCTTATGGGGCCTTTTCTATGTGTTTGAAATCTTGCACAGGATGTCTTGAGTCTCTATGTTAGCTTTGTGAAACCGAACATTAACGCTCCACCTGACAGCAGTTAGTCTTGATGCATCTGATGTATAACGCGTTGTACATGTACATGTGTGATTTTGAGATTGTAGTTGTTGAATTCCGTCTAATTACCAGTAGACCGGGGTTGTTATTTATGGAACACAAGTGAACATGTGATCGGTTGCGTGCTCAGCTATTAGTATAGACGAGCCTGACAAACCCCAATTGCAAGATCTGCACGGTACCACGAAGTCAAGCCGTTTGATACTTCGAAAGAAGCAAGGTACTGACCTGAAGTTCTGCTCTACTTAGTCAGCTCATCTCACTTGATTACATCGGCAGTCGCGATGGAAACGGAGTCCATTCCCGATACGGCGTTAGTCAAAGCGCTGAATTATGGCGGCACCTTCCACCAGTCATTCTCTTCTCCAGATGCCGATGTTGTGCTCGGCGCCAAAGATCATACTCTGTTCCGTATCCACTCATGGACGCTCAAGACGACATCGGGCTGGTTCCGATCCCTCTTTTCCATGCCTCAACAAAACCCTCTTCCTAATCACCCCGAGGTCATCAATCTAGACGAGGACTCGCACACACTAGAGAGTCTCCTACTCATGATCTGCGGTCTGCCGATCAATCCACTCATATCGTACGACGAGGTCGATGCAATGCTGTTCGCCGCAGAAAAATACGACATGCCAGGGCCTATGTCGCTCATACGCGTGCTTATCATGGCTCCCCCGCTCTTAGACCAGCCTCTGCGTCTATACGCAGCCGCAACGCGTTGTGGATGGGAAGAGGAGGCCAGACACGCATCCGCGCAGTCGCTCGCTCTCAATATCTACGCACAGGAACATCAACCCATCCTCCGGAAACTGCACACAGGCGCTGTGCTTGACCTGATGAACTTGCATCGCAATCGACGCGAGGGCATCCGGCAACGACTCAATGAGCAGCCGTTCGTGACAGGAAGCACGACAGCGTCTTGCCCGAGGTGCAGATGGAAAGTTGATCATCATACGTGGAGAGAGCTCAAGTATAGAGTCGTGATGGAGATGGATGTGCGACCGCTAGGAGACACGGTCGTCGATGTGGGATTGGCTGATTGGCCTGAGGCGATCGCATGTTGGAATGCCAGGTGCCCTAATACCGAGTGCACGTCCATGTTGTACGACAAGGTCGAGACTTTGCGTCTCATTCGCGACTGCATCGACGGTCTTCCTAAGACGACGTGAAACGCAGTAGTGTACCATAGACACGATATATCATAATAGATAGGTTAGTCGATCAAACGCTAATTGCTATGTTTCAAGGATGACCAATTTTGGTCAAATTATAGTAGGAATATCTATACTCAATGTCATTTATGCTCGTCTACCATCGAGTCTTCAATTATGCAGGTACAAGTCTTGCAAGGGCAGCCGCACGCTGCCTCACATCCTCTGCTACGCTGTCAGAGAGCAGCAGCAGTGGCACGCAACCCGACTCCATTTTTGCTGCCAAAGAATCTCCTTGGGACCATATATTGGACGATTCAATAAAAGAGATGCCACCTATCCTCCCATCCCCAGTTCACAATCACTTACGCGTTGGCGGCGTAGAAACTTCAGGGCGCACCCGTGCACGCAGACAAGCGATGACCGCCCGCGAAATCAGCGCCTTCGACGACATGTTCAACATGATCTTCGACGCGGTCTCAGAGCAAAAGAACCCCTCCGCCAAACTCTCCTCCTCAAAACAAGAAGATCCGCTTGCTGTTCTCGACGGAATCGGAATCGGTCGCAAGCCATTCAGTCATGCCCCAACGTCAGATTTATTTGGCAAACTCAGACGACACTCAAAACGACTGAAATGGACGACAGAGGCGGATGAGGAATTTGATAAGAAGAAGGAGGAAATGGAGCTTTGCGATACCGATCAGCAGCTGCTTGAATGGGCCATGCGCGAGGTTTTTGGGCAGTCTCAGCAATACGAGGAACGCGCGCGGAATGCTATTGCTAAATCCGAGGAACAGCATCAGCATGCTCCAGGCCTTACCCCTACCTCGAACTCGAGTGCAAGCGCAAATCCACCGCCACAACCTGCGTCTATGCACCCTGAACTCCAACACCCGACTTACCCATACCTCATTGCGCACCTCATGCGTTCTTTCCGTGATAAATACCGTGACCCCCACCTCGCTCTCTCCATCTTCGACTACGCCCGGCACTTAAGTATCCCAAGCTACGTATTCGGATGCACCACTCCCGCATACAACGAGCTCATAGAAACCCGCTGGTCATGTTTCCGCGACCTCAGAGGCGTGCATGACGCCCTCGAAGAGATGCGCGTCAATGGCGTCGAGCCAGATGGCAGAACCAAGAAACTCGTCGAAAAACTAAGGCGGGAGGTAGGTGCGCGCACGATTTGGGAAGAGGAGTCTGTGTTTGGGAGTGGAGAAGTCGTCAGGATGTTGTCTAAGATCGAGCAGCTTACTATTAAGGAGCCGAGAAGGAAACAGGGGAAAAGGCCGGGTAAAAAATTGCCGGCTTTGGATGCGTGGAAGGGCGATGCGCTCAAGGAGGACGTGGAGGACGGGTATGAGTTCGGCCAGTGGGGTTCTGCCAAGTCGCAGCCAAGACGTTGGAAACAAGACTCGGAACGGACAGCTGTCACAGGGCTGGATGATTTGCTGGATGCCAAGATGCTGGGCGAAGACCGGCTGGAATTCAAGTAGCCAATTAACCTATACATTTTTGTCGTAATTAACGAAGGTGTGTGCTACTCTGATGAATGATGAGAAGTATACTTGCAAGGACTGAAGATATCTCTATGCACGTGAATGCAATTTCAAGCTGGTGGGTGATGGTGCATATAGGTACAGAAAAAGATAGTGGATACATGGTAGTATGTTAGGCATGTTTCACTTTCTGTTGCGAGATTTACAAACGCGAGGTTGTGGGGGCGATGGCAGACTGGCACCAAGGCCATGGATGGGAACACAATTTGATCGCACTTGTGCGTACCTGCAAAGACATCAAAATGGATCGACAAGAACATCATCAGAGCGCGCACTGAACATTTGCCAGTGTAGTCATAGATTCTGGATTGCACCTTAGTAAGTTCGGTGCCATCACCAGCGCCAGATTAGCCGTAGGTTCGAGAGAATGCGCAAGATTGTCGTTGTACATCTCTTCCGAGTCAGTGATCAATACGTCCCATAGCTCACGCAACCAGAGCTTGAGTAACGAAGCTAGGACATGCGAATCATCTACGCTGTCAAGCGTATAATACTGAGCCTAGTTCCTGTCAATATTAATGTCTTCCCTGTCTCCCTCCGTACGGAGGAAAACTGCACAAACACAAACCTTGAGAACATAGAACTCAATAGTTGAAATTGAGATATCACGCACCAGCTGGTGGATCTGACCGAGTCCGCATCTACACGGCAAAAAACTTGCTGACAAGGACTGCTCACGGGCTCGCCATTGACGTTTACATGGCGTATACCAGAAGTCTCCGTGATGTGTTTATCGGTCTTTGCATTTAGATCCGCTACAAAGGCAGCCTTCAAGGTGCCTGTCGACATTAGATGTTCGACGAATGATTAATGATTGATGTCCGAGTCTGAGTACGAGGCTCCGAGCGCATTGCACAATTGGACGGTTAACGAATCTAGCCGGATTACAAATCAATTTGACGTTGTCTGAGTACCATACAAAGTTTCAAATTTCAACGTTCTGCTCTCTGCCTCAACCGACGGTGAGGATACCATATAATTGCCAGCAAGAATTCACCGGTCCACTGACTGGCACGCTTCAACACGTGTTTCTCTTGTCGGGTTCTTGATACGTCTAAGTGCAAAAGCTCGCGAAGAAAATAGTGCTACTGCCAGGGCTATCGTACTTGTAAATGTCTTTCCTCCACAATACCAAATATTCCATTGCGAAAGCGGTCAGCAGATTTACGAAGATTGTTCCTAGGTGTCTAATACAATATATTGCTTTAAATACCCTCATCATTTGTTCACTGTTTCACTGATGGATGGTGTGATTTAATGTTCAGATGCGAGAGAGTTGAAACGTTGAAAGACTGTTCCTGGGATCAAATACCGCCTCGGAATCCGGATATGCTTGATCCTTGGTGAGTGTTTGACAGCTCAACAAAGACCCTGGTTGATGCCCATTGCACCGGGCCCTACACTCTACTTCAGCGATGTTGGGTATGTCATCTTTCCTTTGTGTCCCCTTGATAAAATGCAGAGATAATAGTCGCCTCACGGCGAAGTTCACTCTCCGGTCCTGTGTCCCTACATCAAGTCGGACTATGAACAGACCACAATCTTACGAGGTCAAGTTGACACCCTGCGAACCGGTCGCAGGACCTCGCTGCGCTTGCCCAGAATACCACTCGCGATCTTAGATCTCGCGCCCGGCGCGGTCACTGGACGTTACACGATCGACCATGCTTGATTAAGGAATGCGACATTCGTGTGCCTAAATATCTGTTGCGTAAGGTTTCCATCCCAATGTTTACTCTCCTTTCATAGTATCTTCGTTCAAACCAATGGCCTTACTTAGTTGCTTGTCTTTTTCGTGTGTCGTGTGTTTTGCAAGAGTTGAGAGTTGTACCGTTTTTTTATGGAGTTTATCTATCTGTTTGAAATTAAACGAGATATTCGTCGGTGGTCGAGATAAAATAAACGGAAGCCAGACTTACAGAGAAACGATAGACATCATTTGGCTTCTGTCAGAGTTGTTTTCTCGCCGCTCTGCATCATGGTCTGCGTTGATTCTGGCAAGTTCAGAGTAGATGAGAGTCACTCACGTTGATTATGTTCACGGAGATTTCAGCGCTGATGATGTTTCCATTCACGGCCCGAGCTCTGGAAAAGCAAGTCTATACAATGAATAAGTAACTTTCAATACCATTGTTCTTGTCGATGATCTTACTGGGCTATGTCACGGTAGCCTTGCATGGACCTGGAAAGAGGAGTCATATGTAAGTTGGTAACTTGGCAGTAAGAGTTCAAACACATAGACAAAATACATGACATACAAGCAATATCATAAAAAGAATAAGGAACCAATTGGAGCCATTGGTTTGGACAAAAATGCTATGAAAAAAGAGAAAACAGTGATGCATATCCCACGGAACAAACATCTAGGCGCATCGATGTTGCATTCCTTAATCAAGCATGATCGATCGAGTAATGTCCAGTGTTCGGGTCGCGCGCGAGGTTCCAAGTCGTGCTCTGGGCAAGCGTAGTGAGGTCCTGCGGCCACATCGCAGGAGTGTCGACTTGGCCTCGTACAATATCGGTTTCTTCGTAGTCGGACGTGATGTAGACGGGCAGGACCGGAGTGAACTTTGCCGTGACGCGACTGCTTTTATTGTGAACGGTGTGAAGGAGAAATTTGTGAAAGACGACATACCCAATATTGCTGAGGTAGAGTACGGGCGTGGACATGATGCCTCCTTTGTTTACAAAGCCTGCGGGTGGAAAATAGACTAAGGTGAAAGAAGAGAATACAGCGATCGTAACAAACCAACTGCGATATCTTCAATGGACCCAGTGTGGTTCTTGGCCTGGCTGAGGTCGTTGCTGCGAAACGACAGCAAGTCTGATGAAAAAATTATGCAGAACGAGATCACAGACACTCACGACTGGAAGGTCAAATTCTTGACGAAGGACCGGGGTGACATTGTTTCAAATCGTTAAACACACAATGTGATGTGTGGATTGAAGAGCTTGGATTCTGCAGTTAGAGTCTCAGCAAGGAAGATTTTATATATTGCGGGTTACATAGTGGGGCAAAGTAGGCTGTACCTCTTTGCTTGGTTTGCGATTGAGCCAGCGTTTGCTTCGTGCATCGGTACCTGACGCTGGGGGCCCTAATTATTCGACAAGACACTGGCACATGATGGCCATTGACTTGTCAGACTACCGGCTTCTGCACGAACCGATTTCCCTAAGCGTTTAAGTTGCGCGCTGGGAAGTTCGTATCCGCTGTTGGCTGTCCTTCATACCTTCCTTTTGTGCTCTTTTCATCACATCACAGGTGGACAGAGATTAGTACCGAGTGGGATTTGATCTGCCTGCCAAGGTAGACATTAGTATCGAAATAGTTGGCATATACTTGTAGAGAGTTAAGTCACGGGGAGTCCGTGGACCGGGGCGCATTTCGCGACGCGCGACTGCGATATTTTTTTGCTATAGTCCTGGCCTAGCCGGCCCGGGTTGAGTATGGGTTAAATCAACTGTCAAAGTGAAAGTTCAGTCAAACGAGCTGCAAAATGGCCAACCTGCTTCAAGCGCATAAACTTGGGACGCTGATTACCGGTTCATTGACGGGCTGCGTCAACAGATAACTGCTTGAGAAAAAAATGTAAATAAGGCCACCTTACATTGTTAAGACCCTCTAAGCCCTCCGCCCTCCCTTGTGCATTTTCCCCGCCCTAGAGGTAAGCCAAATCTGGTAGTTCTGTGGTACTAACAGCAGACGAGGGGCGAACACGTACAGATGAGTGTAGATGAGTGAGTGTTAGATTAAAAAAGAACAGCAATTTCATGTTCTTGTGAGAGATGGTGCTACTACTACACATGTCACCGCAGAACCAATCTGCCTCGTAAGCCGTAGGCATTAAGCAAACCTACGCATTCAATAAAACTGTTGCAAACAGAATCAGCCGCGGTGATAGGAGCACGTCGAAACAAGACAAGTATCTACACATTGGCAGTGCGATCGAAATCAAAATGTAATTGGATGATTAAACTTATACTCGAACAACAACACATTTCGGACAGCTGGATGACAAAGAAAAATAAACCATATCCGTCCATCTAGAGTTTTGTATTTATTTCAAATGACAACTAAATATAAAATTTTGTCAAAGTGTCCCTCAAAATATCAGGTAACAATGACAATAGAGCTCGTTTGGTAACTGTCATGTACATGACCAACCCCACAAAATATAACACTTACCAAAAGATAAGTACACTTGGCATCCGAGATTAATCCTCCGGGACAAACAACATGTGTACGTATTGTTTCGTCCAACAACAGGTGGATGTCAGCATGCAATTATTTATCTAATTTTTCCAGTGGTGCCCCTCATGATTGACGTTCAGACAAAATGTTTACTGATGTTTTATATTTTTCTTGTTGTGCAAGATCTCTCTAACATTTGAAATTTTGAATCTGCTTAGATGACAACCTAAATATTAAGTGTTATCTTAACATTTCGCACGACATCCAAATATGTCTTAAATATTGCAAACCCCGATGTGTTAAACGCCATACTACATAATCCACAAGTGTCCGTAACGCGCTCAAGCTAAGTATTTTATTTCAACGCTTTTGCCGATGAAGGTGATTCATTTTTGTCCGCTGATGTGACGTTACTTTAGAACCACGGGCGAAGCGCCTTGAACGTTCTGAACGACACTGCAACTCGGCGAAGTCAAGTTTACGCGCCGGTTAAAGCCTTTAAGCACTGGCAGATTCAGCGTCTCGACTCTCGCAGCTCTGAGTGGTTTGACTGACACTTGACTTTGACAGTTGATTCGCTCAGACTGAATGCGGGCCGACGGCGCCAATCACTACTATAGCAAAAAGATATTGCAGTCGCGTGTGCGAAATATGCCATGGCCCTCATGGGCTCCCCATGACTCCCCGACAGATATAGGTCCACTATTTTGATCACAACGCCATCTACCTTAGCAGGCAGATCAAATCCCAGTATTTGGTACTCGGTACTAATCCACCTGTGACGTGATGAAAGGAGCACAAACGGAAGGTATGAAGGACAGCCAACCGTTCCTCGGCGCGTAACTCCAGCGCACAGGGAAATCGGTTCGTGCAGAAGCCGGCTGTCTGACAAGTCAAGGGCCATCATGTGCTATCCCCTTGTTGAATAATGAGGGTCTCCAGCGTCAGGTACCGGGGGACGAAAGAGACGCTGGCTAAATCGCAAACCAAGGAAGGTGGTGCAACCTATGCGAGCCGAAACATATAAAAGCCTGCTTGCTGAGACTCTAACTACAGAACTCGAGCTCTTCAATCCACACTCAATCTCAACTACTAGTACACTTCGTGTTTTAACAATCCGAAACAATGTCACCCCGACCCTTCGTCAGGAATTTGACCTTCCAGTCGTGAGTGTTCGTGATCTCGCTTTGCACAAAATTTTCACCCGACGTTTTCGCAGCAACGACCTCGGCAAGGAGGTCACGATCATGCTCGCTTGGAGTCCCAACGTGGATGGCCTCTACGAGGACGTCTTCCCGATAGTTTGGAAGTAAGTTCGCCTACTCGTGTCTTAGACGATTTAAAACCTTGCGATTTTTTCAGAGTCAGCAAATTCGGAAAGTCGGGTGGGTGTTCCTATTCTCTTGCTGCCAAGTTCCCGACTTACATATGAGCGTTCTTTCCAGGTCCATACAGGGCTACCGCGACCTACACGGCCCAGTAAGATGATCGACAGGATCAATAGTCTTGAAAAGGCGCTTATATATTGTATAGACTCGCTTTCTCCAGGGCCCAGGTCGAGAGTGGGAAGGTCATCAGCGCTGCGACCTCCGTCAATATCAATGTGAGCGACTCTCATCTACTCCGAAATTGCTAGCACCAACGCAAGCCATGATGCAGAACAACGAGAAAACAACCTTGACAGAAGCCAACGATGTCTATCATTTCTCTGTAAGTCTGGCTTCCGTTCATTTTCATCTCGACCACCGACGAATACCTCCTGTAGCCCCCTCAGGCGGGAACCTCTGGCATCCTGCAGGCCCAAAACCACACTGGGAGTATTCAAGAAATAACAGTCGGTTTGTGACCATCTTCGTCGCCTCTTCTTTTCCCTGAGCGTATTGTCCACCTCCAGGCTTCGTGAACAAAGGAGATTTTATGCCCACACCCGTACTCTACTTCAGCGATGTTGGGTATGTCATCCTTCCTGTATTTCTCCTTCAGAGCGTTCACACTATCATATGCAGAGATGGCAGTCGCGTCACGGCAAAGTTCACTCCGGTCCTGCGGGCCTACATCACATCGGACTATGAAGAAACCTCTATCTTACGAGGTCAGGTCGACACCCCTGCGATCTGGTCGCAGGACCTCACTGGGCTCGCTCAGAACACAACCTGGAACCTCTCGCGCGACGCGTCCAGTGGACGTTACACGATCACCCATGCTTGATTAGGGGATGTGACATTGGTGCGTCTAGATATCCATTCTGTGATATCTGCATCTCGATGTTTACTGTGGTTTCATAGTATCTTCGTTCAAACCAATAGCCTGGCTTAGTTGCTTGTCTCTTGATAAGATCGCTTGTATGTCATGTATGTATTGAGAGTTGTAGAATTTCTTATGGAGCTTTATCTACGTGTTTGAAACTTGCATTATGTTGAACAGGATCTCTGGAGTGTGCATGTTAGCTTTGTGAAACCGAACATTAACGTTTGACGCTCCACCTGACAGCGGTTAGAGTATGATGCATACAGCGTTGTGTGTGATTTTGAGATTGTATTTATATATAAAAAAGCTTATTCATTCAACTACCCTTCGGCCTCGAGCGATGAGTCTGACAAATCCCATTTGTGAGATCTGCAAATTACCACGATGTCAAGCAGTTTCGCTCACTGATATTGAAGGAAATAAGGTACTGACTTGAAGTTCTGCTCTAATCTACCATGCATCTCATTTCACTTGATTGCACTGGCAGATGGGAACGGAGTGTGGTGCTCGGTGTCAAAGATCATACCCCGTTCCTATGAACGCTCAAGACGACATTGGCCTAGTTCCCGATCCCTCTTTTCCATGCCTCAACAAAGCCCTCTCAGTTCTGGATCATCCAGAGGCCATCATTATAGACAAGGACTCACACCAGAGAGTCTGCTACTTATGGTCTGTGGCTTCCGATTACATCGTGTGACGAGGTTGATGCATTATTGTTCGCCGCAGAAAAATACGAAATGCCCAGGCCTGTCTCGCTCACTGTGTGCATGCTTATCATAACGCCCTTGTTAGGTCTCTGCGTCTATATGCAGCTGCAACCCACTGTGGATTGGAAGAAGAGGCCAATTATGCATCTGTGCAGTTGCTCATCTACGCACTAGAACATCAACTTGTAGCAGTCCGCACCATATCAAGGACTGGTTGGTTCACTGATGAACCCATCCTTCGAAAAATAAGCACAGGCGCTGTGCTTGACCTGATAAACTTGCATCGCAATCGACGCGAGGGTATCCGGAGACGGCTTAATGAATGGATGTACGGCCACTAGGAGACACGGTCGTTGATGTGGGATGGATTGATTGGCCTGAGGTGACTACGTGTTGGGATGTCAAGTGCTCTAAGACTGAGTACACGTGTGACAAGGTTGCGTCTCATTCGGGATTATATTGACAGCTTTCCTAAAACGAGATGAAACGTAGTCGTGCACCCTTGAACTTGAACACAATAGATAGGTTACTTAGAACTATACTTGGCTATCTGGCATGAAAACATATCAGCAAGAATTTTATCGAAGTAATATGACTCGACGATGAAGTGGCAGTGGATTACTGTACGAGTTCGGCTAGTGGGGTTCTCGCAAGTGACAAGTCGAAGCTAAAACAAGACTCAGAACGGACAGGGCTAAATGATTTGTTGAATGCCAAGATACTAGGCAAAGAGTTGGAATTCAAATAGCGTATTAACCTATACGTGTTTTGTCGTAATTAACAAGGAGAGGTAGGAGCGTGCGCTACTCTGATGAATGACAGTAGAGTTTGGAGATGATAGATGATAGCAGGTACACTTGCGAGGACTGAAGAAAAAATTTCTATGTACGTGAATGCAATATCAAGTCGGATGGTGGGTATAGAAAAAGATGGTGGATATACGATAGCATGGTAGGTATGGCTCACTTTCTGTTGCGAGATTTAGAAACGCGAGGTTGTGGGGGTGATGGTAGACTGGCACCAAGGCCATGGACGGGAACATAATCTGCGTCAATTTGATCGCACTTGAGATGCATCAAAAGATTATAGACGAACACTTGTTCGTACCTGCAAAAACATCAATATAGATCGACAAG